GTTTCATTTAAACAAAGCTTTTGAAATGTTATTTTGGTAGTATTTTAATTTGACAAAATTTATACACCATAAGACTAACTCATTTTTATATCAGATTTTGTAAATTATGTAATTATGTAATTATCGTGTGATTTACAATGAATCCGTACTATGTTTAAGGAGGTGCAGATATTAAAGGCCTTAGTTCTGGGAGAGGAGGAAAGAGGCCAAAGCCAGTATCAGGTCATGTGCTTCGTCAACCACATTGACAAAATGGAGTTTATATCACCTGACGCCATGGCCAAACTAAGACAGGTATAGTGTGAAATGTAGTAAATAAAAATTTTATTTATAATTCAAGCCTATGTATATGTATATTGAACCAATGACAAAAATATTTATGGAGTATATACACCTATAGAATTTTTAACAATGGTGTATTACTATAGAAAAGTTAGCAAGGTTATTTTGGAACTGTCTGGTATGCAAAATCAGTAGTCTGCTAAAAATAATAATGAATTGTACAAGCGGATGATAAAAATAGAGTCTTGCGATGTTGATGTTGAAGTTGTCGAATTGATGGATTATGTAACTGTAAAAATTCTGCAATGCTGGGATTTATTTTTCAGATATAATTATAATATGCAATAAATAGGGCTTAATTTTACATATCACCTGATACATTGATCATAAAAGAAATACATATCAAGCTGGTATGTAGTCCTATCAAGTGTTAAACCTAAACATTTATTCATAAAAGTATATTAATCTTTTAGTAAGCGTTTTGTCAACGTCTCGAATAGTTTGAATATAAAATTTCCTTCAATAAAGCATTGTCATAGTGATGTTCTTTCTCCAGTTGTTATTTTGTCATATGTCTCTCCGCAGAAAAACCCTGGCACAGTGCGGACGCCAGAGGAGGACCGGGGCCGGGAGAACATGACTATGGAGCTGTTTGTAGACGTGGCACGTGCCGGAGTCATCTCTAGACACGTGCCGGTGTTGTGTGCCGAGGCCAGCGATGCTACATACACCCGACGTGCCGACATAGACATGTGGAGTCAGCTACCAGGTGAGACCAACAATTCAATTGGTCAACGTATAAAAGTAAAAACCGGTTAAAATTGAATTTGTTTAACAAGTTATTACTTTGACCGCACTTGAAAAAGATTTCAACAGTTTTGTAAGTGCTTTCAAGCCACATCCTCGTGGTATTTGCTAGCCATTGAAGTATAATAGCTTCTTTTTCAGTGATATACACTGAAAAAATTTTAAAGTAACATTTAATCATAAAGCTAACGAACAATAACATTTACTTTTTAGACCAGACTTTTAGACAGCATAAATATGTGTATTTTTTGTTGGTAGGGTTCTTATTTAAACTTTTTTCTGTCACACATACTTTTAGCAAATGTCTTATATAGGGGATAAGCTATTAAGCTAGATCTCTTAGTAAGACCTACCCCGGGGCTGATTTACTTGTTTTGTTTTGAGGTACCCATAGCCTAAAAACACTATCAGTTATAAATTAAACAAGTTATTACTAGTCATTCTATATACATATAATTACATCTGTTAGCTCGATAACTCGAGTAAAGATAATTCAATTTTTATTAAATTTGGTTCAAACGTTTTATGGAATATGGGGTAGGTTAGTTTCAAATGGGTTTTGTCACTTTAAGTCAGTATATGAACATATTAATCTCTAAATTGTAAACAAGTATAGGCCTAGTTTTAATTTTTGAAACATATTATTATAAATTTTACCGGAACAATTCCATTTACGTTTACATTAGCTTATGCCCTCTTTTTAGATATTTGGAATAATTTAGTTTTTTTAAGTGTTATATTTTTTAAACAAAATTTGTTTACAACTTTATTCAAATGTTCACCAGGTTCCTCTAAAGCGTCGTTGTTGGCAGCAGTGAGAGAATACAACGGTTTGGTGCCTCCACCGCAGAGATGTCTAGAGACCCATGCGCCGTGGCAAGCCTGTACTTGTCACCTGGAGCTGTGCATTGGCTGGTACCCCTGCGGCCTCAAGTACTGCAGGGGGGCCAACCCGCGTACAGCCAACTACAGGTGTGGCATCCGCACGTGTCGCAAGTGTAGTCTCTACCTCTACTACGTCCGTCAGAAGCAACTCTGTCTGTGGGATGAATGACCCTCGTAGTAAATGAACACTTCACCGGTGACTGGTAGTAAATGAACACTTCACCGGTGACTGGTAGTAAATGAACACTTCACCGGTGACTGGTAGTAAATGAACACTTCACTGGTGACTGGACGGTTTTGTACTAGTTTCTGTAGACTTTACCTGTAACTGTGAGGTGAGAAAGAATTTATATTTTTTAGTTTGTAATTTTCTACTGATAATCTCTTCCAGGGCCCTGTGAGAGATGTAGTGATTAAGATTTCAACAAGACTTTGAACAAGTTATATTAGCAAACATTGAATACACATCTAAAATTGTTGAAAATCTATGATTTCAATTGTTTGTGCTTTGTTTTGTAAATAGTCTTAATAAAGCACGAAATAGTTTAAATCATAGATTATACAGTTTTTGATTTGTATTCAATGTTAAATGCTATTAGAAAGCATTAAACGCTGTAATTTTTAAAACTTAAGATTTATGGACTGTTCCAATACGAATTTATGAACAATATTATTTTTGAACAAAATGTTATTCAACGATTACCGAAATGGTCTTTCAAGGTAAATTTTATTTTTGGTCCTAATACACTATTGATATTACTTGCAAGTTTGAGTGTTTGTTTTCTTATAAGAAAATGTATAGTTAACAGTTTCTTGCCATATTGTTCAAATATAATTGAAAGTATGTTTTAATTTTTATCATTGTTAGTTGTACATTATTAGTTGTAAACTTTGAAATACATCTTGTTATATTTACTTTTAACTTGTAGCCCGTGGAGCGAAAGTAATACCTTGAAGGTAATCTGGTAAAAGGGCTAGCTTTGTGGATCAACAGTCGAGTCAGAGATATTCTCCGGTCTGTTACATAAAACATGTTTCATCCGATCGCATTGATCCTCACAGGTCAGCAGATATTTGATCTCATATTTTCCCAAAGACTCCTGACCTTACTAACCCTCCATGAAAAACATTAACATCCCTTTGTATATCATCAATTCATCCCTTAGATTTCCAGCAGTGATTTTATTTACTGGAGTTTTCAGCTTTGCATTTGCTACCCAAAGTGAATGTTGTGAGTAACATGTAAAGGAATTGCAACTTTGATATCTCGGTGTAAGCTTTGTGTGGTTTCTTTTTATTGAGGCAACCATGTTACGTTTAGTTGTAAATTCAAAAAGCAATTGCTGGGTATGTTTCGGTGAAACTTTTCAATGTGGACAAATTTATTCTACAATACGTTCGTGTTTGTTTATTTTAATTTCAGATTGAATTTAGGTACATACAAATAATTGCCTATTGCCATTGTAATCTTAGGATTTACTTTATGAGTTTTTGATATTAAGTATATTATTACTGAATCACATATTGTTTATATATTTTTATGGTAGATTTTATTTTAAAATATCTTTTTGTTATTTTAGTTTCAGACAAAAAAGTAAGTTTAAAAACATTTATTTAATCTTCAATTAGTCAAAGACGAAGTAACTCTAAAAGTAATTGATGTTTAGAAATGACTGGTGTTTGTTGCCTAGCTATTTTGACATCTAACGCAAACAAATTATTGTTACGAAAAAAAAAATGCTGGCATAAATATTTAGTTTTAATTCTTTATCGTAGTATGTGAAGTAAATAATATATTTATCCTTATTGAATACTGTACATTAGAATCTCAATAACAAGTCTTTAAGTGGGATTATCAAATAAGACCTGTTCGTTGTCAATTTTTTTGAGGTTTGCAATATCATGTAATGAAATATAATACTGTATAAAATCGCTGGTATTTGAAAATGACACTTGTTATTGAGAGTCTTTTTGTTGAGGTACCACTGTATTAAAATTGCCCTATCCACACAGAGTTTTATATAAATATTTCATATGTGTATTCCGAACTCGATGGGGCCTTAGCTTTATCTAATATAAGTATTTTCTCGTATTGTTGCTATTCCTCTTTGTAATGCAGTTATAATAATAATTTAATAAGGCTTAGCCTTTTTAAAGTCCTATGTATCGTTTTCAATTTAATTAAACATTATTAATTTAGTTTTTTTAGACTAAGCTTATTTGAGTTTTGTAATAAAAATGTATAAAGTTTAGAGTAAGTTATTGAAACCTATGAATTCTGATATTAACTATGATTTTAACTATCTAGATTTTTATAATAACCTAATACTCTAATTATTATTTTAATGATAAATGATGCTATTTTCGTAATCGTGCGTGCTAATGTCGAAATTTGGTGCTTCTTGTCCCACCTAACAACCTTATCAGTCTTTTTATTTTGATATTATACTATTCATGACATTTCCTGTAACGTTTGAGAACTATAATAGACAAATATTCCTTGCAATAATCTATTATAAATGTGTGTTACAATAAGATACTGCATTAGTTACTTTATTTGTTTAGGAGAATTTTATTCAAAAATCTATTTCCGCCTTAATGTAAAGCATATAAATTATTTGATTTATTTTTTTACTGGAAGAATTATATTTATATACATATTCCTATTATGTAAAAAGCAATAATTGTACTTGTTATTTTGATTTGTAAGGATTTCATTTAAGGAATTATGTTATTTAATGTAATTAGTTCTGAATGTCTTAGTGAAACAAACTATTATAAGGTTTAAACATTCATCTTTTGTGTTGACTTTTGAAAAACTTTGAATTTTAGTTAAATACAATTGTATAATTACATTGTACATCTTTTAAGACTATCAATATTTTTTGGCTCTAATACTGATGTATGTTTGCCATTTCATGTGCCATGCCAGATAATCTTTAAACTCTGGCCAATAGACCTTTCTGTAATTTTTTCCATCTATTAAGGCTGTTTATTTTTTCTCTGAAGCCATTTCCTCTGTGCCATAGTTGCAGCGTGTCCGCTTGGTTCTTGTATACGCCTTAACCCAACTATGTTAGCTGCCTGTATTTATAGCCTTTTTTGTTAACTCCTACCAATTCCTACATTGTATGTGTCTGTAATGCGACTTTTGCGCTCTAGTTTTGTATGAAACTAATAAACTGAAATTTTATGATAAATGTGTCTTGTATTTGATTTTAACTTCCGTATAGGCTAACCTAAATTTTACAAAGCCATAGCCCTGCCATCTTCTTAAAAAGTAAAAAAATTATTTAAAAAAAAATCTTTTTAAGTAGTATTTTAAATAGGTTTAAAATACAAAAAATATTTTAAAATCAAATTTTTTTAACCAACCAAACGTAATTAATATTAAAACCCCTATATTAAACCAAACTAGGTTTTCTAGGTTAAAAATAAACTGTATTTTTCTCCCATCAAAGTACAGCCTTGTTTGAATGTAGTTTTTTGTAAAAAAAAACATAATTTAATCTGAATTAGTGTATTCAAATGTCAAAATAAGCAAAAAAATCTCAAGCCAGAGGTGAAATCCTAACTATTGGGAAAAGCATGGTATAGTTTAATTCCAAAGTAATAAATGACTTCCATGTTTTAATATTCTGTCTTTGGTATCTATTTAGAGCAAATAAGTATTATTGCTTTAATGTTAAATTCATCTAACATCTTTCTGGTTCTCACATCAATATCAATTATCAGTATTCTGAAAAGCTGTTCTGCCATGTCTCTTAGTGTATTGGAGACTGTTTTTGACTTTTCTACTTTAATTTAAGCTGTAAAGTATTTTGATGAAACCCATTATATTTTGAAAGGTAACTCAAACTTGAGATCACAAACAGAAATTGTTTGCTAATAATCATTCTCAGATATTTCCAAACAGTCTCTATGGCATTAATTTACAGCTGACCTGACAATATAATGAATTTACCATGACACCTTTTATTTTACAAGTACTAGTCATCAAAGAGTTTTAATAATGGCTATCTAGTTTTAAAAATGATGGCTGGTATGATCCTATAGTGTTTATATGATCACCCAATCAGTTAAAAAATACCTCCTGCAACCAGAGACTTCTATTCAATACAAAATCCTTAAAAATTGAGTCATCAAGGGATATAAGATTCTTATAATCCAATAATTTATCCTTAAAATCGTGGATGAAATAAGTTTATCGAGGTGAAACACTACTCAAGAATATTTGTAATCTGTTCTGACACAATCTAGATATACGTTTCAAAGCAAAGTCGGATAAAAACTTGGATCACAGAACATGTCAGCAACATTCGCCGATGAAGTGGAACACTGATATAACTTCAGCTGCTGAACCAACTTGTGGTCTCCTTACCCTTACTTTGATTGGCATTGTCGACAAAAGTTTGTAAAATTCTTTGAGAAAATCCCTCTAATCATAACAATTTGTTTAGGTATACAATAATACCGTGTTTGAAAATAATCAATGACCATATTAATCTTTGGGTTCATCTATGAAGTAAAAAAGATAATTCTCTTAGCTGAAAACTAATGAACTAAATTATACACTAAAAATCCGAACAATTGATAAATTCACCTCCCCCCACACAAATTATAAATTCTTGTTTGAAAATATGCATTTTAGGCACCACAAGAAACTTAATAATTATATTTGCAATGGTGTCCAAAGCAATCAACTACCCGTACAATAACCCAGTAGGGTCTACGGTGTAGATAGCAGCATCAAATATTTAGGTACAATCAGCCCAACTGAGCTTGTTATTAGTTGGCAGCTTCTCATACCGAGTTGGACTAATTGGCTTAGGCTAAGAGAGAACAACACCTTGTTTCTAGTTTCACACTGAACCCGATTAAAAGTTTGTCAAGAAAAACCCAGGATATTCATGGAAGAAACGCTGAAATGATAAAAAATATGTAACATTAGATTGCTCCGTTAATAAGCGTAAATACAAATGAATGTGTACAAAAACGTGGATTCTTTTTAAGGGCAAAATTTTCAACAGTTGAAACCCATAAAAACAAGACAAGTTCGAAGAGAATGAATTTAAATATGCTATAATGACAGTGATTCTAAAAATACACAGTTTAAGTTATCTCAAAACATTAAAGTGAATTGAGTGAAGTTAATGGGCTTAGATATTGATGATAGTGTTTTAATTTTAACAGAACGACATTAGCATTTTATCACAATTAAGCAGTAAAATCTACATAAAACGCCACGTGCTGAGTTTACGTAATGGTTTCTCTTGTCACTTTAGTTACAAGTTTAATGTAATGTTGCTTCCTGACTTGACGGAATTCGCCTTTATATCTGTAGAGCTTCAGTTACATCTAGCTTGAAGATGAATTGTTACAGTTTCAATTGTGTCCCTAATAAACTTGCAATAGAAACTATATTAGGTACTTAATTTAAATCTC